CAACTCCCCCTGGCCTATTGCTTTCTCCAGATACACACATGGCAATGTCCTCTCCTCCCTCAGCCTTAGCACTAAGGAAGTTTCTCACCATTCATGCGATGCTCCCTGTGGTTACCTCATGGTGCACCGCTCCCAGCTTTCATCCTTGAAAAATGCAGGGAGTTTTTTACTTAATAATGATAATAAAAAAGGAAAGTACATTGTGCAACATGAGGATGTCATAAGGCTCAAGATTCAAGATAATAAAGTCATTGGAGATGGTCAAAGAAAACACTGGCAATACCTTTCTGGCCACTGAACAATTCATTCATTGACATGTGCAGGGAACACGTTAGGATGACTGATTTACATATACTTTGCCTGCCCTCTGGTGGTGAATGGCTGATGATTAATTTTTTCATACATACATATATTTCTGTACACATATACAAGTATAAATATACATGTATATTCTTATGTATATGTATTGACATATGGCAGAAAATGCTGTCATCTAAATTGCAATCTAAATCTGAATATTGCAGATGTGATCAGTAGATTTTTATTGCCATGGGCGTTAGCTCTTATTTTTTATGCTGAATATTTTCTACCTTACTGTGATTGTTTTAACATTTAGTTCGGTTAAAATAATTCAGCATGAAAATAATAGAAGCATAGTTAATTTTTTTATTTTTATTTTTTTTTCCATCTTGGAGAGACCTGTGAGCTCTTCATCTGTCCTTTTCCTCTCTATAAATAAACCTCGCTGAAACTGGGTGAGCTGCACAAAGTCAAGAGCAAAATGTTTTTGCAGGACCAGTTCTTACAGCAAGTACAGGACAGCATAAAAATAACCGCCGCAGCATGGATGTGCTTTTCCTTACACAATGCCAGTCTGGGTTACCAGGAGGGTGCGGAGACAGAGGTGGCCCTGGGCTGACAGCAGCGTGTTTGGAGGAGAGAGATTCCTTCAGCCTCTCTAGTTTCAATTCAGCAAGGGCTTGACATTATTTTATGTCTCTTTTCCCCTTGCAGCTGTGAAGGGGAAACTTTCAGTTCCCCCGGTCTTGTGTTCGAGGAGAAGGGAATCATCTTCTGGCCAGTTCATTGAGCAAAATCAATAGATTCATAGAAAGGGTAACGTCTTGCAGGAAATGAGGATTTAAATTGCAATAAAGTCATCCTTCCTTGCTGAGGTGGCTCTGGTTCCTTATTTTCTCACCAATTTGGCTTTCCTTTGGCTGGATGATGGAGAGAAGGGAGGAGCTGCAATGGGGCACTCCTCTGGCAAAGGTGGCAAAGGTGGCAGAAACAGCTCTTGGTGCAAAAGTGTCCAGCACCTGGGCATGGGTAGTGAGGATAAGGATGTTCAACAGTGCAGCTCTCAGGACTTGCATGAATTTAAAAGACATTGCCTAAAAATACTGTTCCCGGGCTTTTTTTCTTTTGGTTTGACCTATTAAAGTGGGAGGGGTGGCAATGGTGACTTCTCAGGCTGTGCTCACGTTGGGGTTTGCCTACTGGGAAGTGAACCAGGGAAACTTCTTATCTAAGCACCTTGGTTCTCCACTCAACATTTCTGAGTGAAACTTCAGTCTTTTCACTTTGGGAAAACAAATGTAGCTCCAGCTGAACCAGTGACCAGTTCCTGGGTGCTGTATTCAGCTGTTAAATTGCTAGCAATTTAACCCAGCCAGCAAACACCATCCTGACCAATCTCATAGCATGTTTATTAGAATATTCCTAGCACCAGGAATATTCCCAACAGTTTTTTTCGATGTTTGAGAGAGGAAAGAGATGGTGATAGCAACAGAGCAGGGGACGAGGCATGTAATATTTAATCATGCAGGCATCCCCATTGCTTTCTAAGGAGCATCCATTTCTTCTTTTCCTTTTCTAAGACCACAAAGCACCATGCGAGGGGGTTTGCTCTCATTGCTCAGGCTGTCTTGAAGTTTCAGATATGATGATGAGTTGCTGAAGACCTCTGAGGACGTGAAGCCTGCTGTCACACCACAGCAGGAAGGTTCTTCACTCAGAACACTTCCATCTGCCCGTCTTCTGCTGGCTGGGCACACATGGAGAGCAGTGCCTGAACATGCAATGATTCATTCCACCTAAATAAGCATATTTTCATCTTCTAGCCTCATCTGATGAAGAAGTTACTACTCTTTGGCTTTCGTCACCACACACACCAGTGGTGGACAGTCTGCACCCTTCCCAGTGCCCAGCCACCAGGACAAAGCTACAAACCAGGTGTAGGGAAGCTGTTTTCAGGCTGACCCCTGCTCCCCAACATGTGCTGGGACACTCTGAAGATTGCTCCTGAGGCTTGGACCCAGCACATGTACCAGGTCATAGTTTTACCTCTCATTCCAGTGATGGTGCAGTCAACCAGAGCAACCCCGATGACATCTTCCTGGGAATAATCTTTGTCACCTTGCTTGGATAACAACCCGTGGTTATTCTCTCTGGAGTTTTCTGGTGATGATGGTGGCTGGGGAGCTAGAGTTGCAGCTCTGGCCAGGCAGACAATCACCTCTGCAGGGAGCCCACACAAGTAGGTTAAACAAAAGCTTTATTTCCACACAGCGTTCTCGGGACGCGGTGCCAAGATTTCACAGACGGCTCAAAACAAGGATTGGCAAGGAATGCTCAGCTCCTGTGATGCTTTCTTATTACAAACAGCCCTGAGTCACAAAGCGAGTGCTCAGAGCCAAGCCTGAACTTCCTTTAAACTCAGAAAAGTTCAGATTAACAATTTTCAGGTCTGTGCTTTAAAGCAATAATATGTCAGAGCAGACTGTAAGTGATTTCTCCAGCACTAGAATCTCAATACATGAGTGGAGTCCTCTGCTACTACTGCAGAAGAAATATTGAATAAACCACGCAACCTGGGCTGATTATTAAAGCAGTTAATTGCGGTACATCTGCCATTAGTTGTTACCCTGTGCTATGTGGCATTTGGACGGTGCTGGTGAGCAAAGGGCTCAAGACTCGAGCTGCAGGCACGCAGAGCCTGTTTGCCGTCTCCTCTTCCTGCCTACAGCTCTCTGACTAGCGTGGAGAAAGGTCAGTTGGTTTCCTGCAGGATTTCAGTATTTTGAAATGCTGTTTCAGTTCCAGCTTCTGAACAACAACAAAATAAATAAAGAAGGAAATTGGATGCGGAGGTTGGATCTGAGACATCTGCCTCTGGGGCTGCTTTGTAGCATGAGGCTGGGCTTGGTGGCTGGGATCGCCCCGCAGACGGGCAGCTGAGGGGTCTGGCAGATAATGGGAGACAACCAGAGCATTTTCCATTTGGAAACTGAGGAATATTCACAGCTTGGCAAGTTCTAGCAACAATAACAGAGAAAGCTTCAATGCTAATAAATGCCTTCTGTTCAAAACCAACTTGAATTTCATGCTCTGCGTTGTGGATTTCATTTGGACATCCGACCTACACAGAAAAAACCTATGACAGTTTTGGTCCTTGGCCCCAAATTGACTTTCCCTGAGCTTCTCCACATATGTTAATGAAAAATGTTTAGACATCTTGCCTTTTGAAACTGAGGATATTTATTTCCAAGGTCTGTCGTACAGTTGTTGAACTGTGCCTGCAGCCTGTTCTACCTAGTTTGGTTCATGGACCAAGTCAAGGAGTGGCAAAGGGGAGATTTAATTCATTTAAATAAAACAAACAAACAAAAAACACTTTAGTCTGTTAGTGAAAGGAGAATCAGATGATAAAACTTTTATTGGCTTTCATGAGACCTTAAACTTGTCCTATTTTTAAGGAGGCTGTGTTGCTCCAAGCAATGACAATGTGAGGGGCAAATGTCATGGAGCGGAGGCAGGAAGCAAAGACCAGAATTGAATCATCAGGATTAATTGTGCAAGAACACTTGTGGGTGGTTCTTGCTGATCCCTGCTGGGTCCTGTGCTGTTCAGTAGAATTTAGAGGTGCTCAAACATATTGGTCAGGGAAGGAAGGAGAACCAAGGCAGACTGAGATCTGCAGATATCATGAAGCCAGATATCATGGTTGTGAGGAACTGTTGTGAGTGAGGAAAAGGATGGTGAACAAAACAATACCAACAGCTGCAAAGTAATGAGCATCAGTGGGAAAGTGGTAGATGTTTCTTGCACTGCCCAGAACATGGAGCTGGTCATTGCAAAAAGACCAGGGGTGGGACAAGCACTGAAAAGCTTCACCATGTTTATTCAAAATGATTATTTTTATCACAGATGAGGTCATTCTGGGACTTTGTGGCATGACCAAAGGGGAACCCAAGGATGTGTGACTACAGGGGTAAGAAATCCTTAGCCCACCTTCATTGGTGATCCCTGTGGACTTGCATCCAGCTGCTGCCTCCAGGACAGTCACACAGACAGAAGGGGGCAGGATGCCCTGATGTCTCTCATTCGTTTGACAAAGTGGCAAATCCATTGCTGATGTGAGGACAGGAGGTTATAGAGAAGGGAGGGCACCTGCTGCAGTGTCCATGGAGCTGCCCTGACCTCACCACTGGAGGAAAAATCTCTGTAATGCCAGTGAAAATAACCAGAGCTTCAGGGAAGGTGTTGTTGTATGAGGATGCCAGGACAGAGACAAAATAATTTTGTGAGTTTAAAAAGAGGGGTAATGCTGCAGAATTACCCACAGCCTTACTTCTGCTGCCACCTTGCAACAGTCCCAAACCCCAGGGTGGGATCTTGATATTTTCCAATGACCAATATACTGTGCAGAGTGATATTACTCATTCCCAATTGCAGTATCCCCTAGTATGGGAAACTCCCAGATATAGATTCTTGCAGCTGTTTTGACACCCATCCATGCCACGACTGCTCCACACCGTCCTTAGGTTCTTCTGCATCTACTCATACTTCCACTGCCTGCATGTTTTGAGATCTTGTTGGGGTCTGCCTCTAAATTTATTAATAATGGAGTGAATATATGGGATTCTTTATAGGTACCTTATCTGCAGAGAGAACTGAAAAGTAATCTAAGATAAAGGTAAAGATATATAAAAGAACAAGATTTTCATGTGGAGGGATAGGTATCCAAGGATCTTTATTGGCATTTGGTTTTAATTCACTATGAAAAATACTGTGGATCCTGTATGAAATATAAACTATATTCAGATGGTTTATATTGTGCATAAGTACATCTTTTACAGCTGTCAGCAGATTTGCATGATTACATTAAATTTTACCCTATAACATTAGCAGTAAACCCTCCTGCAATGGTGTTTTCTAGAGTGGGTGCTTCACTATCCAAGAAATCAACCAAGCAACCGGCCCACAATCACCTGAAAAGTTGGCTGCAGAGCTACAAGATTTACATTTGCTGCTTCCAGGCCCCATCTTAACATCATAACATCCAAACACTATTTTTAGGAGCAGAATAACAAGAGAGGAGTGTGATACAGCAATTATGTTTAGTGTGGGAAGAAATCTCACGAGTAAACCTAAACCTGTCTAAACAGAACAATACCAGGAAAATATAAATATATTTTATGGCTTTTTAACAGCAGAGGTTATCACACTTGGGGATGAGTCCTTGGCTTCTTCCTGTTGAAATTAAGAGGGGAAAAAAAACTACACTGGCTTCAAAGAGAATTAAGAATTATCCTGGGATTACTGAAGTCGTCAGTGATCAGAACTTTGCCTTTCTGCTCTCCTTTCCCACAGACCTACTATTTTATGTGTTTTTTAATAAATTCAAAGAATGCTGTTTATTTTTGAAGACAGCATGCTGAAGAAGGAATTCAAAAACTGTGTGCAGAAGGGCAGATTGAAATCTTCTTGTTTAAATGCTCTTCAGCTGAAGAATTCAGTTTGCAGCTACCCAGCATTTTCTTAAAATTGTCTCAGACTAACAAAATCACTGGGTATCCCAAAATTCAAATACATATGTATCTGTGTATATGTGTAGATATTGAGAGAATACATACATAGCAGTAGTTTGAAGAAGCGTGTTGGGTTTTGCTGTTGTTTGTTGTGTGTTTTTCTTTCTCATACATTTACAAATGTGTAATTTGACATATATCAGAAGTAGAAAGTCTTTCTCTCTCCTGCTTGCTGTCACATTACCAGATAAAGGGATCAATCAGAAGTTTTTCAGGATTTTATGTTTTCTGTTCACATGCTTTTTCCTTTACATCCGCTTTGCCTGTGTGCTGGGAATAAGAAGTGTCTCAGAGAGGATTAGCACATACTTGCCATCTAGACAAGCACAATGGTGGAGTTTTCCAGGGAAAATGTCAGGGAGTCCAGCACTTCCTCCGAACTGGTGATGAACTATGTGGGAATGAGGTTGATCCAGCTCGACTTTAGTCATCCATGATGCAGGTTTCTCCACTGGTGCAGATTCTGTTACAGTCGATGGCAAGCACTTTTAGGGCACGATTCATCCATTTGAATGAGGATATCTGGGATGGGCTTCACTTTGGGGTTACGACACCTAACTTTAAAGGTGTATTTCATTAAACATATCTGCCTAGCATTATTTCAGATCTTAAGGTTTGGTGTCTGGCAATCCAGCTGCCAGTGCAAAACTGCTCCTGCATCTTACTTATCAGCTCAGTCTGGGTATTGTAGATACTAGACCCATTTTCACTCTTCAGATAGATACAGCATGAACAGCTTTTACATGTACTTTGACAGTGCACGTCTTATACTTGCAATGGTGAATTAGCTGTTCACTTAGTATCCTTCTGAGATTTGTGGAGTTTGGCTTGCCTTCTTTAATAAAGTCATCTGCAATAACTTAAGAGAGTTGTTCACTGTTATTTGTCATCTAACTGGTAAAAACCTGTTCTGGGTGCAGTGTTGATGAGTTCAAATTGGGCTTGAGAAAGGTCTTGGTGTTTTCAACAAGCACTTTCTGGTGGTAATATTGATTAAATTACCATATCTGCAGTTCTCTTTAGCCTGGCTGGAGAGACAACAACAATTTCCAGGAGTCTGTTAGAAGCCAGACAGTGAACAGAAGTAAAAAATCTGGAAGAAGAAGTGGCCAACAATAAAAATTTTTGACTCTGATGAAGTGTTCTCTGTGGGAAGTGCCTACAGGCCAAATGCTGGCCCTTTGTAGGAAGCTATTTTTACCCACTGTGAGGCTTACTTTGGATATTAGTGGCTTTGACACTACTTAGAGACCGGGGAGGAAAAATACTGTGATGCTTTAGGCTTTTCTTCTACTGATTAAATAATGAACTTTTCCTTCCCTTTGCCTCACTTCTGCAGGTAAGAAAACTCATTAGTCTTATTAGTATCACTCAGCTAAAGGGACTGTAGAACATCATTCTCTACATCTCAGTTTTCCAGTATCTTGACATTCTCTTTTCATCCTGCTCTGGGATGAAAAGCATAAAATGTTTTAGATATGCTATATGTATGTGTTTATAAAGAAAAAAACGTTCTTCCAGTTGATATCTGGGATTGTGAAGATGACATGTTTTGGCATTTTGATCAGATCACATTTTGGCATTTGGAAACAAATATTGATTCATACCAAACTGCTTCATTTCAAAACAGTCATTTTAGTTTGAAAATAGCATTAAAATGGCATTTGCAGCTGAAATGTCAATTCAAAAGAAAATGTTTCAGCTTAAATTGGCATACAGCAACAAAGCCTTTTGATTCAAAATTTCCCTTTGTGGGGGAGTAAAAATCTTTTTTCTTGTAGTCAAAAACATTTTATTCTGAATTGTGTTGATCTTATTTTTTAACCAGCATTTCTTATAACAACAAACCTATTTATTGCAAAATGGTTAATGAGGTAACACTTGGCATTATTGTTCTAATACAGACCCAAGTGCAGCTGGATATGTTTGTGCTGCCACGCTGACCTACCTAAAATATGCCTCGGGCCCATCCTTGTGACTGAGGTGCTGATGAAGGAAAGCACCGTTGCTTTCCTTCCAATGGACATCAGTCAAAAAATCCCACATATGGAACCATGGTGAATAAAGCTCTGATCCAGTGCCCAGTTTCAATGAGAAATGGTGATTGGGGTTCATCTGCCTTCTCAGGCTCTTCCCCTGCAAGAGCTAAGAGGCTTCAGCAATTATACTGCTTTTGGATGGAAGGAAATTAAAAGGAGGGTTTGGACTTCCCTACTGGGGTTGACTTCATGCTGTTCATCCTGTTCTTACTAGTTCTTTGCTGTATTCTTCTTAGATTTCTTCCTCTTCAAGACTCATTTCAGTCTCCTTCAGGCTCCCCAGTTCTTTAAAGGTTGCTTTTGTCAGTGTCCTCTTTGTGTTCCTCAGGACAAATTTGAGTTTCCTGGTCAGCATGCCTGACCAGTTGTGGCTGTAAAACAGAAGATAGGAGGAATTAGCAGCCCTGCTCACTAAGGAATAGCTTTTTATTTTACATCATTTTGCATCAGAAAGAGCAAAAACATTAGACTTTCTTCAAGCCATCAAGAAGCATCAAGCAGGGAGGGTCATTGATACAGAACAGCAGGGATGTGGTGGTCCCAGTAGACCATACAAGTGCTGGAGAAGTTGCATGGGTTAAAGGGATGGACAGAGCTTTCACCCAAGGATATCCACTTCATAAAGGTAAACATTTCTGCTCATGAAGAACACTTCTAACTGTGCATCGCAAGCCTGATAAAGCCTCTGTCTGCTAATAGCAGAGATTCCCTGTTAATCAGGTGGGTTTCTCTGGGTCTGAGGTCATTCACTACCACTTCTGGGAAATCTGAAGGCTCAGCTGCTCAGACAGCCCCATGATCCTACCATTACCAACACAGGAGGGACAGAGAAACAGAAAATGCTGACATCCACCTCAGATCCAGGTGCAGTTTTGCTGCCTCAGCCTGGCACTGCTCCTAACACAACAGGCTCTGCTGAGCAAGATTTAAGATTTAAGAGCTTGTCTAATTCAGAGATTAAATCTAGATCCAAGCTGGTAAACTGATGTGATGGAGCTGAAGAGGTTCATTTGAAATGAAGTTCTAAGTGTCCATGGTGCTCAGGTTCTACCATCTGTTGGTAGGCACAGATTTATTATAATATAACGGGGGGTTCAGATACAAATGAAACATCAAGAACTTGTAGAAGGCCAGCAGATGAGTGAATAGCAGGGTTTTAGGTAGGTCTCAACTTTCTAGATGTCCTGTAAAAGCATCCCATGAAATCAAATTAACTGTGTATAAAAGAAGAAAATATAATCCCAACTGTTATAAACTGAAAAGAACCAAATTCTAACACATATCAATAACACTGTTATGATTACATAAATATGGAAAAGAAATAGGTGAGAAACTGTTTTGCACACACACAGATACGTAAGGTTTTAAACTGTAAACATCACTGTTGTACAATGAACAAGCAATTGCTTTAGAATAAAAATATATGTAAAAGTGACTATATGAAGCGGGGATCCCAAAGGTATAAGATACCTGCCGCTGAGGACAGGCTATTAAATCTGGATGTAACAAGAGAAGGTCTGGGGCCTCCAACCTCAGCACACACTCTGCCCCCTTCACTCTCACACTTGGTGGGAGACCATGGACAGCCAAAGACAGCCAAGGGCAAAAAACAGGAAAGAAAACTAAAGGCAAATTCCTGAGTCTTAAGAAATTACTAATATATCATCTCAACGTGATTTAGGCTTCAGTGGAGGATTGACCCTGACATTTCATTCATTGAACATTATGAGAAAGAACTGATGCCCCTGTCAAAATGATCAGAACTGTTGTGCAACCACAAACGAAACAAGGAAAATAAATATCCTTAAGTGTCTTTTTTAAGCCTTTCTAGTGTTGAACAAGGAAGATTTTACTTCCACTGTGTTTCTGGGAGATGTCTTTGCATACCAAGGCAGAAGAAGTAGCTGATGCAGAGCAGAAGAAAGGTGGAAGAGAAGAAAAATGTGATGGACAAAATAATAATCAATAGAAATGGGTATTTGGTTTCTGAAGTTCTGGTTTTAGTCTTTGGAGAGATCATGCAGGCAAAATCACCTAAGACTATCCCTGCAGTGAGCTGGAAGAAGAAATAGTAAGCTGTAATTGTATTGTGCTTCTGTGTAAGGGTGAGTTTCACCTTTAAAGACAGAGCGAAGATTTATCACACACCCTGTGCTGAATGAGCTTTCAGACTTCTCCTTCAGATCTTAACTGCTGGTCCACCACACCTTGCTAGTCTGTGGTTTGGCCAGCAAGATGCAGTGATTTGGGTGTTTGCTGTATCTTCCAAACAGGAATCTTGAGAGGTCTACTGTTACTGAGATGAGTTCATGGGACAAGTCATTAAAACAGAGGGAGAGGCAAAAAAAGAGGAGAGAGAAAGAGAGAGTAGCTCAAGAAACTGAGCCTTGGTGCTTTCAGCTGCTGTTTTATCTGCCAGACTTGTACAACAGCCTTGGACATCCATGGTGCTCCAGGTTGTACCCCACTTGCTTTTGTGGGTCATTGCACCCATGTTATGACCCACTTTATGATTTCCCAGTAGAATCCCTACAGATTCTGCTGGAGGAGAAAGTACAAGGATCACTAGTGGTATAGCCAAAAGAATTATCTCCGGATGCCTTGAGGTGTACTTTGATGGTGCTTGTGCTTTGCTGCACATTTTTATCAAGATCTGGCCAGAACCATCACTTGTTTTAGAAAGGAGGATCCAGCAAGGACAACAGAGTCCACAGCCTTTCACAGCTAAAGGGTTCATCTTCTGAGCATGAGGATCAGTCTTGGCATGCCTCTAGACACCAGGGCATATGAATGTTCCAAAAGCAGAGATTGGGAACCTTATCTTATCACAGCAAGACTGTTAAAGGATGTCAAACAAATTGGACTGTAAACTGAGAGAAAGAACTATAGATCACTGCATTTGAAATACTTGTCTAGAGTCCCTTTGTTCTTATCAGGGAAAAACAAGCTTATTGATGGCATGATTCCTTTCATCTTATGAAGTACACCTAAGATCAGATGGGAACACCACTACAACATGAAGCAGAGACATGGGGACAAGTGGCTGTTGAGAACGCAGTTGCTCCATTGAAAGCTTCAGACACACAAGAAGGATTGAACTAGGATCATTGAAAAGCTCCAGGTATGAATATCTTACTGATTTTTCTGCTGTTTCCTATGAATCAAGCCAAATGAGCTAACGAGGACCTTCTGTTCTCTAATAATGTATTGCTAATCAGCCTTAACCAAAGAATATATCTGTGGGTGATATATGTGCTAAAGGTTTTTATATTACTATATGTACAGTTTCTGCCAGGCAGTGCTAACCCAAGTGAGAGGTCCTTTTGTTTCTGGCCTTGGAGGAGTAGCTCGTGATCATAGGTGTAGATCATCACGCTGGTCCTCTGGGCTTTGGAGCTTATATTTAGCTGTGGGTGTTCACATATGGTACCACTTATGCAGGTCTCTCCACAGTATGTCCCAAATTTTGTTCTCAGAAAAATAAACGAATAAATGGATCTCTTAAGGGAGTTGAAACAGCTTAACACCCCCCAGATCTTTAAAAGTCATGTCTGGGAAAGAGAAACACACCCAGAAGTGCTCTGTTGGGTTTTAGCCTTGTGAGAAAATTGGATGGAACTTTTTTATCAGTTTGATAAAGCTTAGAAGTTTGTAACCTTAGAAGTTTGTAAGCAGCCTGTATAGAGGCACTGGGGGCTTTCATCCACATCTGTCTTTTTCTAAGGAAGTCTAAATTAAGACAAATTCAGTGGCACAGAGTAGCAGCATTATTGCTGCTCTCAGAGATCCTAAAAAAACATAACCATGCAATATTCTCAAGGGGCATCAGACCCTGTGTGTGCGTGCAAGCTTATGTGTCAGCTTTATTCTAGTAGCACCCATTTGATCAGGTACCTCAGTTCATGCTATTATACACATATAACTTCTGATTTCCAAACAAATCATGCAAGAGCAGGTTGTAATTTTGCTAGGAAATCACCCAACAAAGTTACTACAGTTTCTAGACAGCTCTGTCACAGTTCCCAGCACCTTTTTGAATAAGACACTTTTAAAAGAGTAATACATATTTTTGACAAGAAAAAGCGTGGCACTAAACCCAGCGAAGTGCAGACAAATAACACACAAGCAGACACTAAAATAGCAGAGCTACTTGGGGACTGTCCTACAGCTACTACCTCAGATCTAGGCCTTTTTCTCAAGCAGTTTTGCAGCTTTCCTCCTTTTGAACTCGGCAATTTCTTCCGAGGGTAACCCATGAGCTTTACACCTGCAGTGAACATGTAGGCCATTAGAGAGAGAACCAATTCAGTTTCATGTGCAATAACGAACAGACCATAGCGGAGACTATGTGCAATGTGTCTTCTGATGTGAAACAGGGAAACAAATGTTGGCCCTTGCTCAGATTTCATTTATTCTCCTCCTGTATCACTTCAGCTCAATTTATTGCAAAGGGTGAGGTTAGCTAATTCCATTTTAAATGTCCTGAAGTTGCCCTGAGATGTTTTTGTAATGCCTAGACATGTTTTGTGATCTGTATAGCCAGACACTTCCAGAGGGCACTTGACATGTCCTACACACCTCTCCCAGGATGAGATGAATGATTTTGTTGATGGAAGAGCTCAAACTAGGTTTCTCTTAGCTGGCTGTGTTCTGAGTGTATTCGACAAGATGAACTCTCAGTGACTCATTCCATTATTCCTCTGATCCCCCTTTAATTCATCAAAGAGAAGAGCAAAACCAAACTTCTATGAAGACCTTGCCTTTGGTTAGTCCAGCTCCATTCAGTGCAATTTGCCTTTCCATGGGGTGATGCTTTCAGAGATTCTCAGCTCTCAAAACTATGGGCAAGTGGAAATCCTATTTAAATGTCCCTCAGGACAGCCAGTTTCCCCTGAAAACTTAGCACAAACTTAACCACCTTTCTGGTGAGAGACAGGAAACAGGTTTCAGCCTTTTTTTGCCTATTTTTCACAAATGGTAACATCCAACCACATTGTCCTCTATGCCTTACCTAAATCCTCGGCTCTGGGAACATCTTTCCTTCTTACAGAAACAATGATTTCTATTTATAAATCTTCCCGTGAGTGCTGGAGCCTACAGGGCTGGATTGCAAGGACAGGGAAGCCTGAAGGACATAATCCTGATGGGCTGGATGAGGATTGGCTTCTTCTGGGAATCTGCAACTCAGGTGGGATTCCTCCCACTGAGTTTTAACTACCTGCAACAGAGATGTCTCCATGGGAGGCATAAATCTTGGGCTCTCTTCTGAGCCAGTGGAGGGAAATAGAAGCTGATGGATCACAGTGTGGGTTTATCACAAAGCAGATGTCCTCTGCAGGGCAGAAGAGTGGCACCTAGAAGTGCCCATTTC